ACACACACACACACACACACACACACACACACACACTCACAAAGACATACACAGAGTTGCTTACAAGCCAAGAAATACACACACACACTCATACTGTCCATGTGCGGCCTCACCCATGAATATGTGTGTGTGTGTGTTGATATGTTCCTGCGTCCATGAATGCTTGTGTCTATCATGTATTGAGTATGTCATCATAAATGGATGGATGCCTGTATATCTTTATCTATGTAATGGATGTCATTCGAAATAGATGGATGGATGTACGAAATGTACTGATGGATGGATGGATATATCTATCATGTGTCATAAATTGATGAATGGACGCATGTATGAAACTATTTGTTAGTTTAAATGGATGGATTGATGCATGTATGGACTGCTTAGTGTAAGACACGGCCATACACCATTTTGAAAAGTGACAAATGATGGAATCGTCCGCTGAACAGTTGGTATTTCATTGTAAGTGGATGAATGGATGCATGTCATTGTAAGTGGATGAATGGATGCATGTCATTGTAAGTGGATGAATGGATGCATGTCATTGTAAATAGATGGATGCGTGGATGGAAGTGGGTATATTATTGTTAATGAACTGATGGATGGATGGATACCTCATGTGTCAATGTAAATGGATGGATGGATTGATACATCATATGTCAATGTGAATGGATGGATGGATACCTCATGTGTCAATGTAAATGGATGGATAGATGGATGGCTACATCTTGTATCAATATAAATGGATGGATAGATGGATGGGTACATCATGTGTCAATGTAAATATGGATGGATCGATGGATGCATGCTTGTCATTGCAAACCAACTTTTCCTTCAAGGATAAGTGTCTGTGGAATGTTAATTTTTTCTTTTTTTTAGGTTATTTCTAAAAGATATTGTTTTCTTTTATTTATTTTCTTTTTTCAACTGTTTGTGTTTTTCAGGAAGCTGTGGCGAGAGGTCTAGAGTTGGAGATGTCCAGAGTTGGCTCCCCTGACAGCTACCTCACCTCTCTCTCGGAGGAGTTACGGCCCAAACGAGACTTTTTGGCCGGCCAGCTGGAGGCAGCTGGGATGAGGCCAGTGGTGCCAGAGGGTGGCTACTTCATGTTGGCAGACTACTCCAACATCAGTGAGTGGGGGGATACAGTCTGTGTCTGTTTGTTTGTCTGTCTGTCTCTGTCTTGCTGTTTTTTATCTATCTGTCGGTCGGTTGGTTTTCTATGTGCTGTTTCTCCCTCTCCCTCTCCCTCTCCCTCTCTTTCTCCATCTCTCTCACTTTCTACCCCTCCCTCTCTCTCTCCCCGTCTCCCCGCCTTCTCTCT